GCTGGAGATCTTCAGCGAGGCTGGTTTTGTATCTGCTTCCACCCTGGGGTAAATTTAAGGAGTGCGACAGTAAAGACTTTGAAAACGGAGCTGCCTACTTAGACCAGGTTCGGTGTAACGTGGCACAGATAAAAGGCTTCAAATCTGAGAGACTTGTAGTGGATTTCTTTGATCTCGTGCTTTCCCACTTGAGAGGATCTCCACAGGCAACCGCGTATAGCGGTTGGGGCTTGGAAAGACAGCCTCGCCGCCTGCTTCTGGATGGTTCCCAGGCCGTCGTGCTAGGGCATTAGTATGCTGAGCAGGAGACATCCTTAGCCAGGGGTACACAAAGGCCCTGTCTTTATTTGCCAAAGAATCATATTTAGATACAGCTGCAGCAAAAATGGTTTGGAGAACGGATTGATGGGGCTGCATTAAAAAGGAGATAAATTGTAGGGGGGTTCCTACTAAGTTGCAGTCTGTGTTTAGAAGACTGAAGCTGTATCCTGTAGGTCATACCGCAAACTAGCGAGAGAGCAGAAGCAGGTATAGTCTGCTTGGTGTAATCGTCTGCTTTAATTTCTAGGCAGAAATTCAAGAAATGCTTTTCTGTTATGGTGAGAAGTCTGTATAACTCTATTGAAGTGTAGTTTTGGCGCGGCAACTGCTCACGTGTTGAAGTACAGAATGGCTCCGTGACCTGGGAGGGAAGCTGGTGTACTTGTATTTTGTTTTGTAGGGCAGGTCAGTTCTTTTGAGATTTAGCAATTCCTTTTATATCGATCTCCCCAAACTTACTTGAAAGATCATCAAAATGTTACTGAAACTGGATGTGACAGGATGACTGCTCTGAGCAAGGCCCTAGATTTAATTTCTGGAAGAATAAATGCTTTGAGCAGAACTCTCGTCTTGGCAGAGCAAGAATTGTGGCCGTGGTGGTCAAATCAAAGCATCCCTGGCAATGCCTTCCATCTTCACCTCCCTGCAGTAGGAACTTACAGCTTTGATTGCTTGCAGGCCCTGGGATTAAAGTGACATTGTCTTTCTAATTTAGATCCTGAATAAAAGTAGTTATTAGTAAGAGTCCAAAGAAAGTACAGTTATTTCCTCAAGGAGGTTATGGCTAAAATTCTAAAAACAAAGCATTATAGCACATAAAACTAAATAAAAACCAAGGATACTTTTTATTATTATTTATTTGTTTTCCTTATTGGAGCAGTGAGGATTTTTCGTAGCAGGTACACCTTACCTTTCACGTGGGGAGCTCTGTTACACATGGTTCAGTTTTTGGGTGGCAGAGGAATTTGCAGTATGGACTAAACCCTCAGGCTTCACCAGAAAATTGCATTGACATTGGCTAGATTCTTTTTTTTTTATTTTTTTTTTTTATAAAATATTAAGCTAGCGGGACTCCTAACAAGAACAAAATAATGTTTTCATAGGTGCTGTGTGCAGATAATTCCTGTGTAGGAAGCTTTATGCTGTCTAATTATGCCTGTATTAGCGAACCAGTAATACTGTAATTATAATTAAAGCAATACAACTTTTGTTTAGATAAGCCATGGTATTTGTTATACGTTATCTGTCAAGTCAGTTGACTGTAACAGTGAAGTGTATTTTCCCTTGTACTAGGTAAAATAGGGTTTCCACCACCATTCCTTTTGCACCCGGATGCCCTTGGGTATTTTTAACTTAGCTGTCCATCAGCAGGAGCCCTGGCAGCCTGTAACGCTGTTTGCAGATGTTAAGCAAATATTTTGTTGGCAGATAGGCAATGAAATGGTCTGTTAATAGCATCCCCCTGCCCCCCCCCTCCCCAATTTCATAATCCTAATTTCTTCTCTGTGCCAGAGGTAAATAATTGCCAGTTGTTTTGTTATTGCATTTCTAACCAAATGGCTCTTGACTGTTTGAGCTCTCTTCGTGAAGCCTGTGATTTGGAGACATTTATGCTATCGCCTTTCTGCATTACACTGAGAACGTAAAATGGCCCCCAAATTGGTGTATGGTGTTGACTGCATCTCATGTTGAATTTGAGTTCTCGCTCAGTCTAGATTCAAAGTGAATCTGTTTTCAGATCTCTGGTTTTGGCACACTTGTTCCACTTTCTGCATTTGCAAGCGGAGCTACTTGGTATTGCTCTGCTCTCCAACAGTTCAGCTCGTGCCTGTGCACAGACTTCAAACACCCATTTGCCAGAGCCTGAAATATAAGCTGTAATGCAGCTGCAGTCAAGCCCTTTTTAATAATTTACCAGTCTGTTATTCCTGAAGATCCGTAGGCTTTTTTTGATATGGAAAGAAAGTCCTTGTGGTCAGTGAAATAATCAGTTTCATCTTGGGTTGATACTTCCAGATGCTCTTCTCTTTTTGCCTGTATATGCCTGGCCCTGCAAGGAGGTTAGCTTATTCCAAGCTTGGTTAATCATGCACCAAGTTGGAGCAAATTACAGCCAAAAGGGAGGTGGGTGGAACTACCGAGAGTCTTGTCCTGGGGAAGCAGTTGTTGGTGACTGCCGGGACATGGCTGCCTGCGGGATGAGAGGCAGCGATAGTGCATCGGGGCAGGAGCCCGGCTCAGGAAGGGTCTGCCGGAGGAGGCTGAACCAGGACCTCCCCTCCTCGTCCCTCAGTTCCTGGTACTCTGATGCTGCCAAAATTGAAAGGATGGCAGGTTTGTGAGTGTTACCATACCAGAAGCGATAATGCAGTACTGGAAGTGAGGGTGAACTTTGCTTGCCTTAGCTGAAAGGCATAGTTAGGCACTGCTCAGTGAGAGATCCCTGGGCTGTGATTTGTAACCCTTTCTTTTCAGGGTCTTGGTCACCAGCATGGAGACTCTATATGGCTGTTTGCATTTGCCTTGCTCTCCCGTTGTTGCTCCTCTTTTCATGACCTTCTCTTCCCCCTTCCCTGGCTTGCATCACCCTCCAACTTTAGGAAGGTCGAAATGGAAATGCCCAGAAAAACATGTCTAATTTGTGCAGGGAATCTGGGAACACAAATGGACACTTGTCAATTCCTTCTTTGTACAGAGCCTGGAACTGAAAAGTGACATCCTGACATCTAGGAGCATCACAAACCCGGAATGACTTGGGAGAAGCTGCTTTGGTTGACAGTCCATATTCCTGCGTGTTCGTTAAAAGGTAGTGCTTGCTGTTGGAGCAGTGCTCTTCCTCTGTGGATCTCAAACTGCTTTGCAAAGTCTGGCAAGCTTTGCTTTGCAGCGGAGTAGTTTGGACCGTAGTGAGAACAGCCACGTGTGCAGACTGCTGTTAGAGTTTAACAAATAGCTGCGGTGACATCAGAAGGTGCCGCCATCAACCACATGATACGGCCCTGTTTCCTGAGGTTACGGTCCCACCGCTCTGCCCGCAGAATGGTTTATGCAAGGTCTCTCTGTGTACTTCAGGAAAATCCGCAAAGTTAGGTGACGTAGGCTGCTTTAGCTAACTTAGGTGCTTCATCATCTACTGAAAGTGTCTCTCGTTTCAGATGCCAGCACTTCCAATCTAGTCAGTCAAGATAGGAGGGCTGAGCCTGGATCTGCTCTGTACTTTTGAGGTAGATCTGGGGCATATCACCTCTCGTACCCCACTCCGAGGAGTCATGGAGGACAAACGCAACATCCCCATCATTGAGTGGGAGCACCTGGACAAAAGGAAATTCTACGTGTTTGGGATTTGCATGACTATGATGATCCGGGTGAGCGTTTACCCTTTCACACTCATCCGGACACGGTTGCAGGTTCAGAAGGGCAAGAGCCTATACAATGGGACTTTTGATGCTTTTGTGAAAATCCTGCGGACAGAAGGGACAGCTGGGCTCTACCGTGGTTTTTTGGTCAACACTTTCACCCTGATCTCTGGACAGTGCTATGTGACAACGTATGAGCTCACTCGAAAGTATGTGTCACGGTACAACAACAACAATGCTGTGAAGTCTCTGGTGGCAGGCGGATCAGCCTCCCTGGTGGCCCAGAGCATCACGGTGCCCATCGATGTGATCTCCCAGCATCTCATGATGCAGAGGAAGGGGGAAAGCATGGGCAGGTTTAAGGTGCAGAACCAAGGTGGCAAGCGGATGTTGGTCTTTGGCCAAACCAAGGACATCATTGTACAGATTTTCAAGGCCGATGGCTTTAGAGGCTTCTACAGGGGCTATGTGGCGTCGCTGCTCACCTATATTCCCAACAGTGCAGTCTGGTGGCCCTTCTATCACTTCTATGCTGGTAAGTGAAAGGAGACTTTGAATATATCTTATCCCAGGAGACCTAGAAGCCCCTCAGATTGACCCTGAAACTGTGCACCCAGCGTGATTTTCTTTCTCTCTTTGATTTGGGGTGGGAGCAGAACCTCTCTTGAAACAAATAGCTGTATGCAATTTAAATGAATTTGGCAGATGTTGGGTGGAAGTTTAACAGAGCAGTATTGTTTTAAGTGCAGAGTTAAAGAATAGGGGTCTGAGTGCTAGAGGACTTCAAAGTAGGTGGCTCTAGACAAGAGGGACTTGATGCATCTACTTTAACTTTCTCTTCCGCTAATCCCAAATAACGCTTGCTTTCTGCATGGAAGTGAGGAAGGCTGTTGTCTGGCACTGGGCAGAGTTTTGAAGCCACCGTGTAAGTATAATTCATCTTTCAGTTCACATGGACTCAGGAGTCTCGTATATGGCAAAAAGACTTCTAGAGCCACAAATCTCAGCGAAACCAAACAACAGGCAAAGGCCAAATCTTCCGTGGTTTTGTGTCTTAAGATCATGCTTCAGTTTCCATAGCTTTAAAACTGGCACCAAGCCATGTGATATAAAACTACACTTAACAGTATGTTCTCTCTCCCTAGCTCAGCTCTGGTAATCCTCAGGGTGTTACCAAATACTAAAGATACTGGCCAGCTAAGATTTCTGCCCTCCCGCCCCCGATAATCCTTTAGATTTCTGTCGTGCAGCTTTGCATGTGGTTTTTACTTACCTACTAGCAATTTGCCTAAAAGTGATGATAATGAGAGGCTTAGATTTCACTGTACTAGGCTTAAAGTATATCTTGGAAATCACCTGCTTTTAAAAATACAGGTGTCTCAAATGTCTAGTTCACTTTTCAGAGCGGGCACGTTCTGGTAACAATGGGGAGCATTGGTTATGCATCGGTGCTGCATTTAAGTGGCAACAGCAGCTTGGGATGTTGGTCCAGTCTGAACTTTTTGGGAGCGCTCCCTTCACTCTCCATGTCAACCGTTTTTAATACCAAAATCCACTGTATTAATTGTAAGACTTTCATGCCAAAAAGGTTCAAAAGTGGACATCTAAGAACAAGCAGGTTGATATGGAGAGAACAGAGCTTGTCTCTTTCAGATGTTTGCTCTCTTTCCTAGTCTTCTGCGGTGGAAATCAAGATGATGCTAAATGTAAGCCCCAGCTGTCAACACATCTCTGCTTTGGCTGCCTTTTCTCGTCCTCTGTCCCTGGATAGCGTGCTGGCAGCAGCAGGGGTCACTGAACCTTCCTCAGGGCTCAAAGTACACTGCTGGCAGTGATTCAGATCAGTGCTCTGGGTCACGGACAGAGCAGCTTCCTTCCCTCTTGCCATAGACACAACCACCACATCATCCAAAGAAACTAGGACTTTTGGACTGTCTTCCATGCAACTTTAACCAATAGAAGTGTGGGAGATTTAAATCCCGTTTGCCAGGCAGTAGGAGCAGAATGAGGAAGTCCCTGGGATGGGCAGCACATAGCGCTTTTCTCCTTAGAGATCCCACAGCAGGATACCGTGTAGATATCTCCTGGACAATGTGCTCAGTGGTAGTGACAGCTTTCTGGATCTGTGCAAATCTCTGCAGACAACTTCTGATAGCCTTGTCTAAAGGTTTCCCCCCTGCCTTTTAAAAGGGGGTGAATGTTTCCGTGCTCTGTTTTGGGGACGTACAAGCTTATTCTGCCCTGTTTGCCCAGCAGGTCTGAGAGCCTGTGTTTGAGCTGATCAGAGGCTGTATGATGGAGCACTGAGCCGCCGGGGTGTTTATGGGCTTGCTCCCTGCGCTTTGCTAACTTTCTGTTTGATGTAGAAAGCACCACTTAAACATGCTGTGGGAGGAGGTGACAGGTTGTAAATCAGTGATTCTGCCCACTGCAAATCAATCTAAATTAGCAGGTGGAGTTAAAGAACTGATAAGCAGCCACTCCTCTGAAACTTTACTCTCTCTCTCTTTCCCATTCCCAGAACAGCTTTCTAGCTTGACTCCTAAAGACTGTCCCCATCTCCTCCTGCAAGCTATATCGGGGCCACTTGCAGCTGCCACAGCTTCCACGCTCACCAACCCCATGGATGTCATCAGGGCTCGGGTTCAGGTAAGAGCTCAGCCTGCTTGGCATGTTTGACAGCAACAACAGCATGACGCAGGGGTGGGGTTGGTCTCAGCTCTTTGATCTCTGTGGCTTCAGGTAAACGGTTCCCCTTCTCCCTCTGTAGGTTGTTTTGTCCTAGATATCATGCTGCTTAATTTGCACTCAGCATTAATAGGAGGCAGCTCAGGTAACGAGGCTGGCTTCGCCTACCTGGACTGCTCAAATGAGATTCCCCAGCAGATGTGGCATCCTTCAGAAAAGGAGAGGTGCTTCTAGGAGTGTCAGTTTTAGTGAGACTCGAGCTGTCGTGTTGATCCAGCCCCTTCTAAGTGGGGGCAGATGGGAGGAAGGAGGAGACAGGTCTAAGAATCCCACTTGCTGCTGCCTCTTTAGGACTTCTTGCCTTTTTCTCCCCCCCTCAGGGAATTCTGGAGACTAGATCAAGGTTATTGGACTGGCTGATCTGTAGTCTCTAGAGTTGGAGCAGAACCCCAGAGCAGGTCAGCGTGATGTCTGGCAGCTCTGTGAATATTTGTTCTGGCTTTGCAGGTGGAAGGCAAGAGCTCCATCATCCTCACCTTCAAACAGCTCATGGCAGAGGAAGGTCCCTGGGGCCTGACTAAAGGCCTCTCTGCCCGCATCATCTCAGCCACTCCTTCCACCATCGTCATCGTGGTGGGGTATGAAACTCTGAAGAAGCTGAGCCTCCGCCCGGAGCTGGTGGATTCGAGACACTGGTAGAGGCAGCTGGTGGAAGAGAAACCTTCTTTTGAACCCTCTGAATTTGGACCGTCACGGTTGAAAGCTCGGGAGGAGAGGCAGCTGCCGTCTCCTTTGTCTCTGGCTGGTTTCACAGTACGAGGGTCTTTGGCAGTGGCGTTTGCCTGTGACAGTTCATTCAAGAGCAGCCAGATGTGTGAACGCATCCTGGCAAGTTCTTAATTCCCTTTTTTTAAATTAAAGACTTACTGGCTGAAGCAAAAAGCCAGTTTATTCTTTAAATTATTTTAATCTTTGCCAAACTTCCGAGAAGGGGAGTCTAACAGACTGCAGCAGAGCCCTCTGGTGGGTTGGGTGCTGATTGCAGTTGTACTGTGGGAAGCTGGAAGAATAGAATAGACAAGTAAATTTCTCCAATCAACCACATTTCTTTCTAGAAGATGTGAGACGAGAGTAACCTGGAACCATTTAAGACTTTATTTACTGCGTTTTGAATAGATCTGTACATACCTTTTTTTGTATGTTCTTGGAAAATGTTTCCTATCTCTCATCCTTCAAACAGCAAGCTGGCTGATAGTCAAGTTAGGAGTTGAGTTGGCTGTTTGTAATTAGCTGATGGCAATTTTGACACCTAACCTATGTTTTTAATCTGTTGTTATTTAATTTTTTTTTATTATTTTAGGGAAGCTTATTCTGATTTCTGGGGGACTGAGTGGTTGTTTTGTGGCCTTGTTCAATGTGAGTGTCAATACTGCATGTTCAGGGTGGCTGCTGCCACTTCCCACCTTTAGTTAGTTTAAGCGCAGACAAACGCGGAGTTTGGAAGTGTCAGATTGCTGTGCTGCCAGCAGCCGAGATGAGAACTGGATGTGACTTGAGCTACAACTGGATGTGAGGTGGGGAAGAAAAAAAACCTTGTACTGGCTTTTGATCCAGTTCAAACCTGATTGGCATGTTCATATTGAATAAGAAGTAATGGTTCACTAATAGTTTCTAGGTTTAAATCCTGCTTATCCTGTTTGGGAAGGGCAAGGACGATTCTTTGCACACTCTTGCTGGATCAAAATCTTAAGCTATGGTCTGTGTTTTTTACCAGATGAAAACTTGCAATCGAGTGACGAAGCAAGAGGCTGCTCTTTGGGGAGGAGGAACAAAGGGATTGTTTGACTTCACTCTGCTGGTCTCGGTGTTTGAGATTTGCCTCTCATGATGCCGGCCCACGCATGGTGCTCATCCCAGTTAGTTGTATGTCTGAGAGGTGAGAGATACACCTCCAAATGACAGACGTATCACCGCCTCTCTTCACCTCACTGCCGTAACAAGGAATTCTTGGTTGTAGCATTGATCCTGCCGAACTGTGGCTGCTGCCAGGCTCTTAGCTGTCTTTTCAGCTGGGACTTGCTAAGCGTGGCTCTCGCCTTCGTCCCGACGTCTGCAGTTCAGCCCGTGCAGAGACTGGATGTGCCACAGTTCCTGCTGGAGGTGGAGCAAGTACAGACAGATGCTGCTGAAGTTGGAGAGAGACTCTTATGTTTAAGGGCAGAAACTTGGTTAGAAGATACAGTGCTCTTTAATGGGGTTGCAGATGAGTCATTTTAATCCCACCTTTGTTTTCTGCAGCATTAAATAAGGTGATGTAGCCTGAGCCACTGACAGAGCTGTTCAAGCAGTGTGTTCTGCAAGCTGCTCTTCGGTCGCGTTTTTGTTTTTTAAAAGGTGACGCCAATCGGCTCTTTCTGTAATAGCGGTTTCTGCTCTAAAAAGTAGAACAGCAGCATCACAAGATTGCAAGGAAGTATCCTGAGCGTATGGCAGTCCCGTTCTCACACGAAGGCGGTAGTAATACCAATATTAAAAGAAACGGTAATAATCAACCTCTGCTGATTACCAGCAGGGTAATTCTTGGTGTGTGTCGTGGAAGTGGCAGACAGCACAAATGTAGGGAGATACTCTCAAGCTTAATTTTCCTCTCTTAACCAGCGAAGTTCTTGACAACTAATAAACTTCAGAGACCTTCAGTTTGACACCTGAGTTTAAAAGCGCGTTAGTCTCGGCGAGTGCGCTTGCCAAGGGAGTCTGCCGGTTTCTGTCATTTCACAGCGCTGCTTTCTTGGTTTTAATGCTTTGCCTTCTGAGAAGCTCTAGGAGAGACCTGACCAGCGGAGACTGCCTGAAAAAACGATGACAGTGACTGTGCACAAAGCTGAACAAGCCAGAAAAAAACGGGCTAAAGCAGGTGCAGTACCTGGAACCATAAATGAGTGAAAAGCGCCCAGATCCTCTACAAACCGAGGTTGGTTCTGGTTAGCTCTTACAAGCATTATCTTGACAAGGGAAAAATTGCTTTTCCCCTCTCTTCCTGTGCTGAAGTTGGATTATTCTTCCCCCTTTGCATTCTTCAGGCTCGATCGTTTTATTTCATTAAATGATCAAGAATATTAGTCAGTCCACCAGCGGACTCGGGTGGGCGTTTCCACGGGGACCTC